CTTACACTGTTAAATTAGGGTACGGCTAGCGCAGATAGCCCTCGTGTAGCTTTGCGCGAAATTCAAAAACAAAAAACAAACAAGAGACATGAAGTTTAGGAGGTTGGCTGGACTGTGTTCTGCTTTCACAAAATAGTAGAAGTGTTCATTTTAGGCAGATACTGTACTCAGCAACCTTATAGTGGCAAGTAAGTTTCGTTCAATCTTCCTCGACCATCTCTATTGATAGAATGCACAAAAGTCATTGTAAAAATGGCTTTATAGAGCCAAGGAACCAGATCTGGTATTGTCTAACATGTGTGGCCACTACTTCATTTTTTTGTGGGATTTTGGATTAGTGTATGGATTTTACTCCCTCATAGCCTGGAAATTAAGGCAAAGTTAATAATGCTGATGCGCAATTCGGATTACCTCTATTACAAAGATTTCAAAACTCTATTTGGAATTACAAAAAAAAGAGAGAATACCTGAAAGCGTTGTTTAGGAATAAACCCACTAAACATGTCTCTATGACTCGCAGACTTGGTGTTAATAAGACTTATACGATTATGTCAGTGTCAATATACACTTCATTCACTACACTCGTTTTAAAAAATAATTTCACTAATCTAACGTTCATAAGAACACAGGAATTATCGGTTATTCCTGCCTATCACAACATTTTACGAACTTATAAACTACGAAACTTACACAAACTTTGTCATTGTTCCTAGACGTACCAACACAAACAACATTATGAAGACAGCAAATACCAGGGATACTAGAGACACCTACATTAAAATATGAAAATGAGTTATAATATAATTCAATCTTGACTTTTTTTTTTTAAACATACAAATAACTTGTGATGAAGAGCATTCCAGGCCACTTTCAAGTTCTTAAAAGCTGATTTTATTCTAATAACTATCAGATAAAAATGCACAATTAGCTTTCCTTATTACACAATGAACTAAACAAGTTACTTATTTTAGCATGGGAATATTTAATACCTTATTTATTCACTTATTAGGTGCTGTCATATAACTAAATGCATCATCTTTCAGTATTATTTGAACGCCTTTCCAAGCACTAATGAGCAGTATATGAGCAATTACTACAAATTCAGTTGTCTGGTAATGGTGTCATCACTGTACGTTTTTTTTTTTCGCCATGTGAGTATTTGTTTATTTAAACACAGATTTACACATTAGACTATCAGTGCTCTGCCCACCACACGTACCAACACCCAAAGTTTAGTGTTATAAGCCCTCAGACTTATCACTGAACAACCAAGGGGCACCACGAGAAGGACCACTTTAAAATTTATCAACCATGCATTTAAGATACCTTGAAGATAAACGTTTGCAACCTGAGTTGATGTACAAAGGGCTTACTTTCTCATGGGAGAAGAACATTAGACATTTTTACCTTATTCAGTCGGGAGATGTTTCTCAGAAGCGACAGAGGGAGCGTGATGATGAGGGTACACACGAGAACCACCAAGTTACGGTTACCCAAAATCGAATCCCTTGGAACTAAAAAGGTAAAAATATGTGTCACATTGAAATAAATCTAAGCAACTGAGTGACAAAAAAAAATACCAAGTGTCAAAAATGAGCACCATTAAGGTAATTCAGTAATCAGAATTACAAATTAACGATTACTAGTAGGCTGTAAACACTGTCAACATACCTCCCCTTTAACCTCTAGTTTAGCCTGTATGTTTGTTTGTAGGTAAGCACAAAGCTACACACTGGGCTATCTGTGTTGTACCTACCATGGGTATTGACACATCGTTTCTAGCATTATACATCCACAGATTTACCTCTGTGTCACTGTATATGACGTGTGAACTGGTCTATAAACGATTTCTTGATGACCAAAAAAAAATAGTACCAGCAAGCAATTGAAAGGAGTAATAGATACAATTTTATAAGGATGAAATGAAAGCAAGCAAACAGTAGATCTCTGGACAAAAATATTTAACCAACTTAATCAAACAAAAATAACACTTGAAAAAAAAAAGACCAACTGCAAAGACTCCAAAGAATAAAAAAATATATATTAAGTTTGAAAGAAAGGGGTAAAATGAAATGGATATTGAATAAAGTTGAAACGAAAGGAAGAGAGAAAATTCAAGCCTGAAGTTGTTTTTGTCTGCTAAATGGGTTACTAAAGACAAACAAAAGCTGTTAAGAAAATGTTTCTAAAATAAACTCAAAAGAAGAAGGCCTTAGACTTTTATAAAGTAAACAAAAATGGCCAAACAGTTCTTCCAAGACTGCACAAACACAATAAAAAGGTATACTTCCACCAAAAAGTCAGAGAACCTAAACCTCTAGCCTATACCATTGATCAGAATTCAAGGTTGCTGTTGTTTAACTCTTTTAAACCCCCAACTTTGTGCTTGTTCTGCCAAAATTATTTTCATGATTTCCTAATAATTATCACCATACCTTATAAAATTTAAATTTTTTTAATTTTGTGGATAATAGCACGGTCTGATGGGTAAATCAGAATTTTAGGCTGGATGCTGGCAGTGTCCACTTGGGTTTAAGGAGTTAAGCCTTTACTATATTCAACACAAGCAAAGATAAAAAAGCATTTATATTAAAAAGTTGTTTTTTTTTATTAGTAAGCCTAAATACAAGAAGATAAAACAGTGGGGTCACCAACTCCTCTATTGAAGAAGGACTGACATCTCCGTTAAACAAGGATCCAAAACATAGAACAGGAACATGGGTAAAAGAAGCTCATCTTAAATGCCCTAAGTTTAAAGATAGTTTACCAACAGAAAACTGAAGAAACAAAAACAAACATTCAAAAAAGGTGTTTTTTTTTACAAAACCGCGCCATCACTACGGCAGCTGTAAAACTAATACACAACTTTTGTAATTGATATTTACTATATATATAGTAAAGAGGCTTTTTGAGAGAAGAAATAAACATTCATCAAGTATCTGTAAAGATAAAAGTGGTATATTTAATACACTGCCAGATATGCCATGTCCCAGCATGTCTTTCCCAAAAACCCATCAGTGTTTATCTTTCATATGTAATAATTGGAACAAATATCATGATTTTTGTTTTCAAACAGGTTAAGTATTTATATTTTTGTTTATAAAAACATATATAAATCACACAAGGTGTTTTGTAATATATACACGTCTTCAAAAAGCTTCTGTTTCTATAGAAAAATTTGAAATAAAATCACATCTGACTCTTAAAAGTCAGTCATAGTGATGTTTTCTGAAAATATTTTTTTGGACAAACATGTAATGTATATTTACGAAGTACAGAATATTAATGTATATTTTATGTTTGGAATATGTTGTTTTTATCTTGTCAAACAATAATTAAAACATTTATTTTTGAAATATCATTCATTTTATATTACATTCTTAGAAATAAAACATCAGACTAAAATAAAAATGGAATATCAATTTAAAATAAACTAATCTTATTTATATAAGCACTTTTTTTTAATAAAGGTTAACTTTGTAATTACTATAATTTCATCTTTAATAAAAAAATGCCTTAAAACACCATCTGGTATTGAACTACATCCAATATGACACATGAGCTACACAATCATATTAGAAATCTCTAAGGTTCAGGCAAGCTATTTCTATTTTAGAAGAACAGAAGAAGGCAACCAAACACCAATATTCACTGCCTCTGCAACTATTCTTAGTCAAGTAACAGGACTGACTGTTACTCCTACAGATGAAGTTGAAGTGCACGTTCAACATTGTATTATAGCTGGAGCTTTGGACGTTTTGATCTGCAGATTGGCAAGTCAACTACTAGGCCAAATTCAACCCATCTTAAAAGTCACAGTAATATTTTTTGAAAATTTTTTTTTTTTAGAAAAGCATGCAACATATATTTATGAAGTGTGGTACATTAATGTCTATTGGAGGTTGGTTCCATTCCATTATATGCAACATTATTTTGGACCAAAAGATTGGCAAGCTCGTGTTGGCCTCTGTTAAATAATTTTTTAATCTAAAAACATACTGTTTGTAATATGCCGTTTTTGATCTTGTCAAACGTGAAATAAAATTAAATCATGTTTCCATTTTATAACTAAGTGTATTTGAATATAAAATATACAGATTTATACAAAACAAAAAGAATAACACAATAATATGCCTTGTTCTTAAGATGTTAATTTGCAAAATGAAGATTATATAAAAATATAATGATTTGGTATGAAACGAAGAATGTTACTGAAATATATTTATCTTTGTTACTTTATACAATTGGCTATTTTTGACCAGATTTGGTAAAAAACAATAATTATTCAAAAGATATCTACAAAAATACGCACATTCCAAAAATGTTTAACATACTTACGGTTGAACATTCGCAAAAAGACTTTTGTGATGGTGTCTCCAATGATTACATTGTAGCTTACCATAGCTGGTAAAAACAAACATTGCAATGTTTTACATGGTTAGATAAATACAGCACAAAAATTGATAACTGTTGACTAGTAAATTAAATATATCAAAAACACATTTACTAAAATAGAAAATAAGCTCTCAGCTCAAACATCATTATCATCTATTACAGTGTAACAATAGATTCACAATTACAGCATATTAAGTAATAGAAGAAACAGATTGTTATAAAAATTTTGAGGCGTGATGGACAAATTAAGAAGAACGCAGAATAAAAACATTTTCTTTCATAAAAACTTTTAAACATTTTGGTTATTCAATAATTCACCAGCTTTTGGCACTTAAACCATAAGAAACAGGTGTTAAAAAAAAAGGAAGTTTAATACATTTTAGTTGATAAAAATAACTGCCAAAATATTGCTACAATATATTGTATTGTATTCTTGTTTTAAAAAGAAATCATAATTTTAACAAATGAAAAGTGTAACTCTGCACTCGCTAAGTCGTTATATACTGTAGTGTTATAGTGGTTGAAAAAGACAGAAGTTATCAAAGATACATTCCGAGCGAGAAAGCATTTACACTTGAAAGCAATGAAAGGGGCCAAATATAATGATCTAACTATATCAAATGCATATTTACCAAATAGGCATTCAAGTAATTACTTTAAGCTGTGGTTAAGTTTGTTTCTCGTAAACAAAAAATTGTTTGGTACAGAAGTTGACTCTTTTATGCTAATTTGAAACATGAAAATATTGAATTTTCATGCAAAAGGAGAAAAAAAAAAACGTCTTCCTATGAAACAATTAAATTTATTTTTCAGCTACTAACTTTATTGGAGTCTTAATTTGTAAACTTATTGATACTACCACAAATTTCAATTCAATATTCACTGAAATTCCAACTATTACAAAATAACATATTTTCTACTACAAAGCCAAAAGTAATTATGTGTAGCAGGATTTTTGCTACATTACAGTACTAATATAAAATGTATTTATTCAATTTTATGAGTAATTATGTGTAGCAGGATTTTTGCTACATTACAGTACTAATATAAAATAGTATTTATTCAATTTTATGAGTAATTATGTGTAGCAGGATTTTTGCTACATTACAGTACTAATATAAAATGTATTTATTCAATTTTATAGTCAGAAAAATCAGGATCATAATTACTAAAAGGTCTTTGAGTAACACGTCATACAAAGTTGTAGAAGTTAATATTTCTATCACACTTCTTACCTATGTAAGGATAAACAAACTGAATGAAGGTCAAAAAGTAGAAACCAGGGCTACCAAAAGCTGCATGAACAAGGTCCTTGTTATAAATCAAAGAAAAGACATTTCCATCAATATTAAAATATATGCCAGTAAACTTTTGTTCCAATAATTAAATTAAAACAAACAGATTATATTATCTTTGTTTGAAATTTGTTTCATGTACACTAGTGTGCGTCAATTAAAGATCGACATTCAGTCTCCCATCCAGAATGAAACAGTAACACCAATATAATTAATTTAATTATTTTTAATATCAAGTGTTAGGTTTAAATGAATTCTAAAAAATGAAATGTAAGAATGTCGAAGCTGACAATAGTTATGTTTCTGAAGACTGGGACATGTAGGTTTTAGATGTTGTAATGCTGTGGTTATTATACTAATGTCCAATATCAAATAGACTTTTTCACACATTTATTTGTCTTCTATTGTGAAACTATTAAAAATAAATTTTTCCTTGACCATTAGGGGTAACTATTTATTTATGTAAATAGTAAATAAAATTTTCTTTTAAATGTGACTCTAACATGACTGTCCTACTTTCAAGTATGAAATACAGCTCTAAGATGCACAGTTTCATTAGATGTAATGATCTAATTTTGGAAAAACTACTATTGTTGTATATCCCTCGGCATTAAAATGAACTACGTAATCACTATTGCTAGAATTCTTGAAAACAGTATGTCTTTCTTTTCAGTATTGGTACCTTTATGTATTTTTATGTTTATTACATTAAGAAAAAAAAAAATAGAAGCACAATTTCCTATCCTTTGTTACAAAAGAGTTTCTATTTCACCTGTCCAACAAATGGGTACTCCAGCTTAGTAGCTTTATATAAAGAGAGCTAAAGTAAGCAAGAAATTTCTTCAAAAGTGAAAGTATCAAAAAGTGAAGTTCAAAAAACAATCAAAAGATTGAATGAAACTGATACACAGATCACAAAAGTAGGCCCAGAATACTTCCTAAACTTTCCAGATCAGATACTAAGTACCTTAGGCTTACTTCATTCAGAGACAGACATAAATCTAGCAGCTGCATTGCTGCAGTACTTAAAGAAACCACTGGTGTTAACATTTATCCTTCCACAATGTGATGTAGGTTGCATCAAGAAAACCTTTGTTCAGGAAAGGCAACAAAGTGAGAGAGTTACGTTTGAAAGAACTCAGTACATTAGACAAACTGTGTGTGGAGAAGAGTACCTTGGTCTGATGAGTCAAAGTCTGAGATTTTTGGAATTAACAGATGAGAGAACAATTGTTGCAGAAGAGTGGTGAAAGATTAAAGAAGAACTGTTTGCATTCTTTGGTTAAGCACGGTAGAGGCAGTATCTAAATATGGGGCTGTTTAACCACAATTGGAGTTGGCGATATCTACAATACTGATGGAGTCCTGGATTCTGGTCAATATAAGTAAATACTCATTCACTATGCTGTTTCCTCTGGACGACATTTAGTGGGAGAAATTTCATTTCCAAGTGTGATAATGATCCCAAACATAAGAGCAAATGTAGGAAAAAAAGTATCTTATACAAAAGAGTCCAATGGAACCTTTGTCTACTTGGTGTGGCCTCAAGAGAGTCCTGCCCTCAATAATTTTGAGTGTGTAAGACTCAAGAGAAACAGCAAAGACAGCCAAAATCAAAGTAGGAGAAAGCATTCCTCATTGGCTTCAGGAAAATATTTCAGTTAAGGGAGGGTGGTCACAGAAAATTACAGAAATAAATTCTAAATTTGCTTATACAAGTTTGTTTTGCCTTGAGACATTATGTATGTATGTATGTTTTATCATAGTAAAGCTACATCAGGCTATCTGCTGTGTCCATAGAGGGGAATCGAACTCCTGATTCTAGCATTGTAAATCCAAAAAACTTACCACAGTCCCACCAGGGGACTCGGACATTATGAAGTTCAGAAATTCATGTACTAAAAGAAACTCTGCATGTCTTGAATTTTAAATAAATGGTGATGACTGAGTGGTCTCTAATTAATGCACAGTACTGTATGTTAGGCAGGTAGTTTCTTTTAATATTTACATCTTCTTATAAGCTTTCATGGAATCCAAATCCAGAACAAAAACACACACAAAATCTTCCATACAGATTAAGTGGTTCTGAAATGCTCTTTCTGGGTAATTATTATTATTATGTCATACCTTGGTAACTGAAAAAAATATACGCAGTACTGATTTTAATAGATGTTATGTCATTGCTTTGGAAGTACATGAATATCAGTCATTAATTATCAAGCTGTAACATAAATATTGATATATATATATATATAAAATGGAACAGAATAAAATACTCTGAATTATTAGTTGTGGTATTAATTATAATACATAACATTTTACACAAAGAGTTCAAAAGTTAAACCAACAAAATTTTTATAATAACACCTGGACAAAATCAATATTATATTAATATTAACAAGACATAAATTTATCATAAAAAATGATTTATCTATTGCAATGTTCATCATAAAAATGTCCATTACATCACCAGATCTACATAAATGTTAGCAACCTTACCTGATAAGTTGTGGCACCAACAATATTTCCACTCTTGACTAATATACACAGAGAATAATCAGTAATCAGATCTACATAAATGTTAGCAACCTTACCTGATAAGTTGTGGCACCAACAATATTTCCATGCTTGACTAATATACACAGAGAAAACCAGTAATCAGATCTACATAAATGTTAGCAACCTTACCTGATAAGTTGTGGCACCAACAATATTTCCACTCTTGACTAATATACACAGAGAATAATCAGTAATCAGAGCTATAAACAGCAGCAGAATAATTCCCAGTCCAAATCCTGCCTGTCGCAAGGCATATGCTATTCCTGAAAAGTTTTTATGAGGAGTTTCATGTGATCAAAAGTACAACTGAAATTACATGTGTTGTTTTCTTTCAAGTGATACTAAACATATTAGTAGGCCTATCTTCAAACTAGAGAGTTCTTATCATTTATCCTTAATTTTCAGAACTTTTGAGAGTAATTTTCTTAAAATAAGTGTACTATGCACTTGAAAATACAGGAATCAACAAACAAAACATAGTTTTAATATGTTAATGTCCCGAGTTTACTGAATTTCATTACATGAGAATATGGCTGTTCAGTAGTAGAAATGAAAGATAACACACATTTACACGTTAATAATGTAGTAAAAACTGGGTAAACAGACATTATACCAAATATAAAAACTCTGAAAGTTGTTTGACAATAATACAATTTTTCATCAGATATCTGAAGGTGTATAATATATAAAAACCATCACTTTTCCCCTCACGCTCGAGCTGTGCCATACATACTCGTTAAGATATTTTACTATTTAAACAGAGCATAAAAGTTAAGAAAAATATAATTGTCTTACAATTAAACTTTTTAACAGTAAAGATCAATCTGTCACTCTTACAACATGGTAAAGGCTTGTGTTTAAATAATAATTACTTTATAACCGATCACATATTTACCTCTATATACTTAACCAATAAAGCATAAAAAGCTCAACTATAACTTATGCCAACTTCATGCTGGTATTTTAAAAAGAATGGTTATTCTTCAAGAGTCATAAGACTTCAGACAATCTATGAAACTGACTTTTGCATTAGCTAACTTGGAGGGAAAACACATTCTATATATTACCATTATTATACAAGATGTTAATATAGCTTACTTCAATTAAATAAACTCTAATTATTCACATATAATTTTCAACAAAAACTTAAGATTATGTTTCTATTACTCATGGGAAATATTTCCTCATTTGTTTCACTATAAAAAATCATATTAGACTAGTTAATTTTTACATAAAAATATACAACAAACAGTAAATAATATCTACGACTTTGAAACAAATTGAAGCCATATTTCAGGCTTCATAAAAAAAGTGCTAATGCCAACTCATTACCTTTTATTACAGTTATATAAAAGAATAACATCAGCTGAACTGAGAGTATTAATACTAAGTAACCATGTCACTACTAATGGCCTTCTTACTAATGCTGCATTCTTACTTGCTACCACATGTCAGCATCCCTATACAGGTGACTTACATTCTGAATAATCTGTTTCACTCATCCAACCCCTGTCTGGTGACTAATGTTCTGAATAATCAAACCCTGTCTGGTCACTAATCTTCTGAATAATCTGTTTTACTCATCCAACCCCTGTCTGGTGACTAATGTTCTGAATAATATGTTTCACTCATCCAACAACTGTCTGGAGACTAATCTTCTGAATAATCTGTTTCACTCATCCAACCCCTGTCTGGTGACTAATGTTCTGAATAATCAAGCCCTGTCTGGTGACTAATGTTCTGAATAATCTGTTTTACTCATCCAACCCCTGTCTGGTGACTAATGTTCTGAATAATCTGTTGCACTCATCCAACCCCTGTCTGGTGACTAATGTTCTGAATAATCTGTTGCACTCATCCAACCCCTGTCTGGTGACTAATGTTCTGAATAATCCAACCCCTGTCTGGTGACTAATGTTCTGAATAATCTGTTTTACTCATCCAACCCCTGTCTGGTGACAAATGTTCATAATAATCTGTTTCACACATCTAATCTCTTTCAGATGATTCATGTCCTAAATAATCTGTTTCATTCATTCTAATCACATTTAGATGACTCACGTTCTAAATAATTTGTTTCATTCATCTAACCACGTTTAGATGACTCACGTTCTAAATAATCTGTTTCATTCATCTAACCACGTTTAGATGACTCACTGACTCACGTTCTGAATAATCTGTTTCACTGCTAGTGTCATCATTAATGACCTTTGAAGCAGAAAATTGCAGAAGTAAATCTGGAAAGCTTGTACAAGTCTCTGTGAGTCATTAGACTTTGACTTAGTGTGTGTTTTAAGTACCAGGAATTAATAATTTTCGCAGATGAGTAAACCATTTCTCACCCATTAGGAAATAAAAAACAAAACAAGAGTGAAGCTTATGGTATGATTTGAATACATACAAAATCATGGTGTGGAGTAAGAAAATGTTATCACGAATTAAAAGGACACGTGTTTTGTCAATATAATTAACAAAATACCCCCCGTCATCCCCCCATAGCTCAAGTACAAACATTTTGCATTGAGGGAAAAGGAATACAAGTCCATTAATCAGTTTACAAATGGTAGAAAGTGAACTGAATTTATATCATACATGTTTAAAAAAATGTTCTGCTGGACAATGAAACATCTGGATTCCATAAATTGCATCCTACAAATAAAACCATGTTTTACTACATAATTTGATCCAAGTTGATAACCTCGATTTCAAATGTACCGAAAGATATAAACAGAAAAAAACTTTTTGTAGCTTGCGATTTAGAAAATGCATGAACATTAAGTGTCTAAATGCAAAACACACACACATGGAATAACAAAGCTAATAAGTTAAAATAAGTGACTTTTATAAATTAACATTAACATAAACACATCTAAACCTGTACTCTGCCTAAAATACTGAAGTACGGTTAAAAAAAAATTAACTTAGTGAATTTGAATTCAATAATTCTTAAACACTTGTACTGAGATAAACACACACCTATTATTCCTGAGCCAATGATACTATTAATGTAGTTAAATCCAGTTTGCTGTAAGTTACTCATGTCCACTTTCTTCCCACCCTGTTCTTCCTGGATAAATAAAATGAGTGTGTGAAATTACTAGATTTCTTTTTAAACACAAATAAAATTTAATCCTCATTCAATTTCATAGTTTGTTTATATTAAATAAACAGAATGTACACACTAAAATGAGTGTTGTTCTGTACCATTAGTTCAGTAATAATCCGAGTAATGAATTTCTGAAATATTTTTACATGGTAGTACTGTGTACCAGCTGACATCCACCCATGTCTACATCACAAATAAAAATGAATGTTAATGCAAGAAAGCAAAAACATCAGCTGCCACAACTCCATCACTTGAAACTGCAGTAAATTAAATAAATGCCATGTATTTTCTTCTTTTTTTTAACACACCCTGAGCATTTGTTAACACGAAAGAAACAAGTTCTTGAACGGTACTACAAATACATTACTTCATCTGTTTGTAGTGAAAAAGTTGTAATAAAGTTTTCGAACAGAGAAGACCAAACAATGGTGGGAAACATTTTTTGTTTTCCAGTCACACTGGGTTTTTCAGAAACTGATTGATTTGAAGCAATGATAAAAACATATCAAGATTATTACGAGGTTAAAAGGGTAGAGCTCTGTTTACAACTTAGTCATCCTCCAATAAAAACGCAATGGTCGAGTAGCTTACACGTATTAACAAAGAAACAGAACGGTTGAATGTTGAACTTGTAATCTAACACCTGAAACAAAAGCTAAGTACATGTGTAGGTACAAGAAACTTTGTTGTTATTTAACCAGTGCAAGATGGTTGTAAGTGTAACTTTGACATCATACAAGTG